ACACACTCTCTCTCTCTCTCTCTCTCTCTCTCTCTCTCTCTCTCTCTCTCTCTCTCTCTATTGGTTCTGTTTCTCTGGAGAACCCTAAAACACTCAAGTAGTGTCTAGTCAAATCTGGACATCCACACAATTCCCCCATCAAGTGAATAAGCTTCACAGGTTTTTCAAAGGCAAAGGAGTTTGTCCAGGACATGGAGCAGGTGACCTTGGGCCTTTGTTAAATAATTTAGTTTTCTCTCTAATTCTGAATGGATAACCTAAAACTAGAGATTCGAATCTCCCATTCTCATTAATTTATACAATATTTGGAAAATGTACAAGGAACTTACATCTGAGAAATGCAAAAGGTCTACTAGCCTACTAGGCCTTTGGACTAGAACTGTACCACCTCCTCTCTTGGGTCTGGAGCCTGCCAACCCCCTTTTGAAATTCAAAAGGTCTACTATTCATCTAACTTTAATGGTCAGTTTTATGTTTCAGATTAAATCAGTTGTGGGTCATTATAATAATCAACCAAAAAACGAATTGAGCTCTGTGCTTTAGGACATATCTGTTCTCAAGATGCTTACAATCACATGAAAATTTAAATAATATCAGAGCATTTCAATGATAAAGACAAATTCATTCTACAAACAACCAACAGAGACAAATATGAAAAGAATTTGAGAAAGGAGAGAACATTACTTTCTGTCTGGGAAAGCCCTATGAAATAGGTAAAAGTAAATAGGACTTTGAAGTTACTCGCCCATATGGGCAGGCAAAAAAGGGAAGAGTAACTTCAATAAGGGAAAAGTATCCGAAAAGCTGGTCAACAGGTTGGGAAAGGACAGAAGTGTCCGTGGAGCAGTAAACAGAAATCATTGATACTAAATACATGTTCCAATAGAGCCGACATATCAATCCATTGGTGATATATAAAAAAAAAAGGGGGGGGGGGCATTCTCTTCTCACTATCCTACTAATAAGATGCCATCTGAGCATGGAGTTCCTTTTTATTTACTTTAGCAAAATTCAATCATAGTTTATCAACATCCGATGTGGAACTCATACCATATTACCTTAAACTGTAAATATATATTTACAATTTTGTTTTTTCATTCCACACACCCAACTGTTCTGCCACAACCAATATTGAGGAGAAGCAAAATCTGCCTGCAGATTCTGGAGTCAGACAAGATTTGGAGCATCCTAAGTTTAATTATTTTTTCCTTTCCTTTAAATAGGATAATATTATCAACTAAGTTATGGACATTGTACAGATTAACTGAGATAACACGTAAAGAGGCTAGCACAATAACAGATGAATAAATATCAGTCATTGATAGTACTGCAATGCCATAAACAATGGTAAACATATAAAAGTGAAAAAAACCTATATTCTATTTTGTGTGTGTCTCTGTAAATCTTGTATAGTTCCCAATAGCAATAATAAAAGGTACTTCAAAAAGTTCATGGAAACACAGAATTAAAAATAAATACAAATCTTCCTATGAACTTTTTAAAGTACTCTTGTATTTCTCTCTTTCAAGAAAGGAAAAAGAAACATAACTATACCCACAGGCACCTTTCCTGTGGTTTAAAGTGAATACAAACAGGGTTTGCTCCAAAATCAACCTTGAGAAAGTCCGAAATGAAAATTGGTCACTGGACTCAGATTTGGGGTGAAATCATCGGTGCATTTACACCCTATTTCCAGGCATTGAGAGAAAAAGAAAAAAGATAATCTAGGATTTCATAGATCTAGACTGTAAAACATAAGAAAATCACTAAGAAACACTTAAGAAAACAGCGAAAGCCTGTCATGGAGTTCTCCTTGAGTTCTACTACGTGCCAAGAACTAGCAATATTTAAAATGCCTCTAACAGGCCCTTGCCATCAAAAGTCCAAAGAGACACAGAGATCCTGCCTCAGTCAATTTTTTAAAATTATAATGTTAACATTAAGCCTCCTATAACCCCAAAATGGTATTGTATAGCCAGAGCACAAAGAAAGGCACACATGTGAGAGGACATAAAAAATAAAATTTAACACAATTTTTTTTTAAAACAAAACTATGCTTTTGACTTAGTTTGAAAACTCTTATTAGAAAAAAAAATTCCATTTGTAATCAGAAGTCAGACACACATGTATATGACTTCTTTAAGGAGATTGTCAGTTGCTCCGGCATGTTATCATAAACACACAAGGTTTGTGGATTGCAGTGGACTTTGCATTTCTTCACGGAACACCACATTTAAAGTTCCTTCTTAGTGACTGAAAAGTTTATGGAGAATTATCAGTTTCCTCAACAGAATGGAGAACATGTTTTGAAAGAACATGCCTGTCTTTGCTGCTTATATCATGTCTTAGACATGAACAGATGTAGTTTATGTGTGAAGTCATTTCGTTTTCCAAAAAGTTCTATGATATTAAGATTCCAGACCACAAAGGAGTGGCCTTTCATCCAAAGATCACATTGCAAATACTTCCCCCACTAGCATTTATCTTGCAACTATTTCATGGTATGGTTACTGCTATTCAAAATTTTACTTATATATACTTATATGTACATGAATCTGTCAATCAGTTCTCTTACAACATTTTGGCTTTGTCCTGCTCAGACAGGCATTCATTACCCAATGTTTACAGAAAAATTTTCATATATTTTCTCTTAAGACTTTTTAGTAATTTTTAAGGTTTAATTTCATAATCAACTAGGATTTATTTTGATGTATGGTGAGAAAAAGGAACCTAACTTTTTAAGTGAATGACCAATTGTTCTAAACACTTAGTAAATCATCCTTTACCACTAACTTGAAATGCCATCTTTAACATACATGCACACACATATACATACCATGTCTTTCTATAATTGCTACTCCATTTAAATGATCTACTTGTCTATTCACGTAAAAATACCATGCTGCTTTAAGTATTGCAGCTTTACATTACTTTGCCATAATCATTGTCTTTAAAATACTAAACTAAAAAATCGTATAAATTGCTCTTCTATCCCATTTTATTCTTTAGAATCAATTTGTCCAATTTCCCCTCACCTCCTAACCTACCCCCTCAACACACACGTACCGTTGTGATTTTGATTAAATATCACTGAACAACTTGTTTTATAAACAAAAAATTAAGGCTATAAATTTTCTATAACCCATTCTTATTAATGTGTAATACTTTCCTCTGAGTCTGATTTGTCATCCATTTTTAGA